ATTGTTTCTATCAGCAATGGTATTTCCTGTCAAAGACGTTGGCCGAGGATGCTGCTTGGAAGTTTGTGAGAGAGAAAGGTATGGACATGGTTTCTATAAACCCGGGCTTGGTGATTGGTCCCCTGTTGCAGCCAACTCTTAACACAAGTTCTGCTATAGTCTTGCACATGATAAACGGTAAGTTACATCACATTCTAGCTATGCATATAACTTTTTCCCTATTTTTTGGTTTAGATCTCCCAAGTCTGCAATTTTGCAGAAATAATTTTAGTTAATAACATTACTGATCACATGAGAATTTTAAAGGGTAGATAAAAAAGTAAGGAGATTTAACTAAAACATTTGGTCGATAAATTTGTAGTTCCTTGTTATTGTTTTGATTATTATGTTACCTATTCTTGGCATGTGCAGGTGCAGAAGCATATCCAAACCATACATTCGAATGGGTGAACGTAAAAGATGTTGCAAATGCGCATATTCTGGCATTTGAGAATCCTTCGGCAAATGGAAGATACTGTGTGGTGGAGAGTGTTGCACACTGTTCAGAAATTGTGAAGATACTGCGCGAATTGTACCCTGAGCTTCGAATTCCTGAAAAGTGAGTCCTTATCATAATTCTTTACGTATACGTTATTCATATAGTATCACTTTCTCGGTATTTGTTTATATGAATATCTGAAACTCAGGTGTGCCGATGACAAGCCATTCATGCCCACATACAAATTCTCGAAAGAAAGGGCTGAAAGCATAGGTGTCGAATTCACTCCACTCAAAGAGGGCATCAAGGAAACAGTTGAAAGTTTGAAGGAGAAGAACTTTTTCAAAGCTACTTAAAATAAAAGCCTCTCTAGTTCTCGTTATTGCTATTGTGTGTTGTTGATACCCAACAACTCCATGAACACATCCTATATTTGTTCCATTATTTCTCTGCAGAACATAATCAGCAGTTGGACCTTCTGTTTTTTCTATGTGTGTATGTCCAATTTCAACATATTATGGCATGTGAAGTTTGATTAATCCGCGTGAATCATGAGCAAAGCAAGTGGATTTGTATTTTGAATTATTAGTAGAAATATTCAAATAAAACCCTGCTCATAGATCAAAACAGGCTAATTATACTCTACTCTTCAACTTACAAAAAATTGAGTGCTTATCACAAATCTATAATTCAATTTGTATGTGCAGTTGTTATAGACTCATTGTTGGCATAAAATATATGCTTTTATTTTTCTCTGAGCACATGTTATCAGCTTGTATCAATTTTTCAAAATATTGTTTATTGTTGAAAATCTCAAAGTCAAGTATGGTGATGACAAGCCATTGATTTATACATACCAAGCCTGCAAGAAAGAGCCAAAAGCCGTCTCAACTTGTATCAATTTTTCAATATATTGTTTATTATTGAAAATCTAAAAGTCAAGTATGGTGATGACAAGCCATTGATTTCTAGATACCAAGTCTGCAACTGCAAGAAAGAGCCAAAAGCCGTCTCAAATTCGCATCTCGAGCAAAGCATCAAGGAAACATTGTCTTGAGTGTTTGAATAATTGAATTTTCAAAGGTACTTGGGTAAAAGCCATCCTCTTGTTCTGGTTAGGGATGTGTTGTTGATTCCAACCAACTCCATTACACATTCTAAATATGTTCTCCATTTTTGTCTGCACCACATAATATGATTATGTTAGTTCATTCGTTTTATATTAAGACATCATTTTACTTTTTAAAAAATACATTAGGAGCTCATTTGTTCACATTTTATTTAAGAAATTAATAATTTATGTTACTACACTTAATCGGCCAAAAACATTCACCACACGTACACTTTATTAATTCATAAAATCAGCTTTCTGCAACAAGCCAACAACAGCACCACATTCACCTGCAGTTCATCTCGTAAGTTAATGCTAACAAGTGGACTACCTAAGTTGTCCAAATAACCAATATTAGTTCAAAGTAAAAGCAAAAACCATCTCCCTGTATAATGTAATGAACTGTTGAAACTTTATATATTGCCTCTTCCATTTTTTGCAAATCTAATCATGCATGCACATCACCATTTTCATAAGTAAAAAAGCTACATTCATCACATAGATAAACATTGAACACTTAAGGAAATAACATCCCTTTCAAAATTCCGAAAACGCTTGTTTACATCGAAAAATAAGAATCCCTTCTGTTCACACAGAAGTCACAACAACCCCTACTACTTCACCTAATATGATCAAATAATATAGCCAGCAGGCATCATGTCATTCTCCACACAAAATGGTTTTAATTTCGACAGCCCAAAATCCTTTGACACATCCCCCGACGACGAAGCAAATGTGACTCTCGAATTCATCGAAACATCCGAGCTTCCCAATTTACCAATACACCCCTGAACACCATCACCCTCTTCCGACAAGCAAATTGAATTGTACAACATTGATATCCCTGAAACAATCGACCCATTCAAACACCAGCTTTTCATCCCCCTGCATTGTTCCTCCTGCCCGTAAAACCCAGATGTTTCAATTCCCATTATCTCCATTGTATTCTCCTCCAAAGAGAAAAACGGGTCGTTTAGCAGCTCAAAAGCCGACGGCCTCAGAGAAGCCGGCAACATGCACTTGTCAATAATACCCCTCACTTCCAAATCCTTCACTCTCCCCAGACTCGCCGGCTTCACACCATTCGACACTTTCTTGAAAATCTGAGCCGGGTTCGTGCACTCGCAATAAGGATACTCTAAAGTTTCCATCTCCATCAAACACATACCAAAGGCATACACATCCACAAGCTCGTTGTACTCCTCATCATAGTACTCAGGGGCCATGAATTCGGGCGTGCCTGCCAGGGCCCGAGCTGGGGCCCGCTCCATCTCAGTGGCCAGCCCGAAATCGCCAATTTTGACCTCGCCAGTGGTGAGGTCGATGAATATGTTGTCACACTTGATATCACGATGGATTACACAGGGGGTTCGGGTGTGGAGGTAGTGAAGGCCTTCTAGAATCTGCCTGCCCCAATTCTTCATTGTCTGTAAATTGGGCCGCCCGAATTTCTTCATGTACTGCCTCAGGCTCCCGGAGATGAAAAGCTCGGTTATCATGTTCACCGTCTTGTTCTGGTAGTCGATCCAGTAGGCGTGGCACCTCATGACGTGTTTGTGGGCGAGGGAATTTAGCAGGACGGCCTCGGAGCACAATCGCGCCAGATTTTCCGGGGAATTTTTTAGGGTTTTGACGTCGTTGTTGAGGCAGATCTGATTCCAGGCGACCTCGACGCCGTTGAGCCGATCGAAGCCCCTGTACACTTCCTTGAAAGCTCCCCGGCCAAGGGTCTGCTCGAACCGGATGTAGCGGCCGCACGGAGATGTCTCGGTGGCGTCGGACTCGTAGGGTTCCGGTTTTTCCCCGTGAAATAACTCGAGATCCATGGAGAGGACGATCGATTTGCGGATCGAATTAGGTCGGACGAAAGGGGGGAATAACAGGGGAGGCTAAATTACAGGGTGTTCGGAGAAGGCTTCCATGGCGGCTGTGAAGGAATCGTGAATTGAGGAAGAACAGGCTCGGACGCAGTAGAGATCCATCTTCGACGGTGATCGGCCGACCGGTGGTTGTTTCCAGGCGCGATTTTCTCTGATCAGCACCATCGTTCTACGCGCATCAAAATTTGATTTTTCTTTTTGTTTATTCTGTAATTCTCTTTTGGCGGCTCACAGGAAGGATATGAAGAATCAGGGAACGAGGGCGGCGATGAACAAAGTATAGAAAGTTCAACTGAAACTGTAGGGCTGATGTGATTGTGATTGGATATTATATAGGTTTTATAGGTTTCTTTCATCGTAGGTTTTGGAGGTCAAAGGCTCAACACGTTTTAAAAGAGGGTTTAGTTCATGCCACCCGCATGGGTACTACCCATTTTTAGCAAGAGCCAATAAGAACAAAACATGTGGCAAATTTTTGACTATTAAGGTACTATAAACACACCAAAGTTTACTATAGGCAAACCAAAAGAAAAATCTATTTAGCAAAATTATTATTAAGAAAAATATTATGAGTGATCCACCAAAAATGTCAGAACATATAGAAACACTTATAGAAATAGTAAAAAAGAACCAATTAGAAACATTTGAAAAATTAAACGAAATAAAAGAAACAATAAGAGAACTACAAGATTTAGTACAAAAAGAAAAAACACGGAAAAAAGTATATAAGCCTATTCAGATAGAACCACCAACAAGTTCTAATGGATGACATAGATAGGTTAACTCAGTTATTAGAAAAATGCAATATTGAAGAAACTAGAATGGCAAAAATAGATGATGAGGATAAACAAGGAATAATTTATGGAATAGACAGTGAAAATGAAGATGAGCCAACATTTAATATGACTGATCAAAAACCTTATGCAACACCGCCACTATCACCAAAACGACCTAGAACAAATAATAATGAAGCATCTACTTCACAAAATAATTATGTAGAAAATAGTTTTAGAGATTTTATATATAGAAATGAATAAGTATATTCAGAAAAAGATAGGTAAAACACAAGAAGAAAAAACTTTAGGAGTTTTAGAAAAATATGCGAAAGAATATAGAGATGAACTTTGTATAAGAAAAATAGAGCACCATGAAATGACTAAAGTTGATACAAGATGTTGTAAACAATTAGATAGTGTACCACAAGAATATGGTTGTAATAAACCATATAAAAAGAAAAGATATTATAAATACAACAAATTTAATAAACGATATAGACCAAGAAGATATAAGACATTTAGAAAACCATGGAAACCAATATATAAAGGCAAATTTAGAAAACAAGGAAAATACTTAGGAAAGCCTAAATATTGTCCTAAAGGAAAAAAGAATTGCAGATGTTGGAAATGTCAAGAAATAGGACACTATGCAAATGAATGTCCTAAAAATATACCAGAAAAAGAAAGAAAATTAAAAATGATATTTTCTTTAGGTTATGAACCTATAGAAGAAGAATATGAAGAAGGTGAATTATTAGATTTTGATATATATGATTTAGAATCAGAAACAGATAGTGATTTAGAAACATCTGAATCAGAAGATGAGTAAAAATAGTTCATTTATAAAAGTTAAGTTATTTAATAAAATTTTATTAGCATATATAGATACAGGTGCAACAATATGTTTAGCACAAGAGTCTATATTACCAAGTAAATATTGGAAGAAATTAGATAAACCAATTACAGTAAGAATTGCAAATAATAAAACAATAAATATTGATTTTAGAACAACAGATTTAGTATTATTAATAGAAGAAAAAAGATTTCCGTTACCAAGTCTTTACAAACAAAATACAGGATTACCATTAATAATTGGAAATAACTTTCTTAAGTTATACAGTCCATTTATTCAAAGGTTAAACAGTATAAGTCTCAGATGTCCACAACTAGATACGCAGTCTAGTAAAATGATAACTACAAAAATATATAACACGTCTTCTTTCGTAAGAGGGGAGATATTAAGAAAAATTTCATTTCGAATATATAAAATGATAAGTATAAATTTAGAAGAACAAGTTAATCAGTTACTAGAAAAAATATGTAGTCAAGATCCATTAGATCCAGATAAAAATACGAATAGTATGATAGTCAAAATAGAACTAATAGATCCTAATAAAGAAGTTAATGTACCAAATAGAATACCATATACAGAAAGAGATGTAAAAGAATTTCAAGAAGAAACATCTAAAATGCTTGAAAAGGGAATAATACAATCTAGTACAAGTCCACATAGTGCACCAGCATTTTATGTAGAAAATCATAATGAACTAAAAAGAGGAAAACGAAGAATGGTTATTAATTATAAAGAAATGAATAAGGCTACTAAAGGAGATGCATATAAATTACCTAGACAAGATTATATTTTCAGTAGAATTAAAAAGGCAAAATGGTATAGTACATTAGACGCTAAATCAGGATATTGGCAATTAAGATTACATCAAGATACCAAGCCACTAACAGCATTTAGTTGTCCACCTCAGAATCATTATGAATATAATGTAATGCCATTTGGATTAAAACAAGCACCAAGTATATACCAAAGATTTATGGACAATAATCTTAAGGGATTAGAGTCAATAAGCCTTGCATATATAGATGATATAATAATTTTTACACAGGGATCAAAAGAAGATCATTTCAAGAAACTTGCAAAAGTTTTAATACAATTAGGAAACAAGGGAATTATTTTAAGTAAAGAAAAGGCAAAAATTTGTAAAACAGAAACAGAATTTTTAGGGATGAAAATAGTCGAAGGAGGCTATATAGAACCGCAGAAACATTTACTTGAAAAAATATATCAATTCCCAGATCAGCTTGAAAATAGAAATCAAATACAAAAATTTCTTGGATGCTTAACATATATTGGAGAAAAAGGTTTTATAAAGAGTCTAGCAAAAGAGAGAGAGTTATTACAAAAAATGATTTCTGAAAAAATACCATGGAAATGGACAGATAATGCTACTAAAGCGGTACGATCTTTAAAAAGACTATGTAATGATCTACCAAGACTTTATTTAACTAAGCCTAATGATTTACTCATTTTAAATACTGATGCAAGTCAGGATACTTGGGGAGCAATTCTTCAAGCAATCCCAGACATATATGACGAATTTAAAAGATTTGTTATAGATAATAAACCATCTGAAGTAAAAACATTTTTACGAAAGAAAACTAAAGAAGGTAACAATTTATTATTATCTAAATGGGTATCAGGAACATTTAAGACAGCAGAACGAAATTACACCACACATGAGAAAGAAACATTATCTTTTATAAATGCTTTAGAAAAATTTAAATTAGACTTACAGCCAGTTAAATTCATTTTTCAAACTGATAGTCTTTACACAAAAGATTTTACAAAATATAAATTAAAAGAATCTTATAACAAAGGAAGAATTCTACGATGGAGTTTAAAGGCACAACAGTTTGATTATATTTCCTTATATATTTCAACTCATGAAAATTTCCTTGCAGACACTCTAACTAGAGAATGGAAG